GATATTATCCTCCTGCCCCTTATTTTTAGTAAAGTCTCTCTTTTAACAGAGAAAAAGCTAGCAGGAAACATTTTAACATTTTTTTTTTTTTTTAGTACACTGAACTACTGCTCAAAGTTTAAGTAACCATGAGTTCTTTCTTTCTCTTAAAATCTGCAAACAATCCATCAGAATATTCTATTAACTCTGCAATTAAAAAAAAAACAAAACAGAATCTGACCACTTCTCCCATCTTCACGACTGTCTCCCTGATCTGGCCTCTGTAATTCACCTGGATTACTGACTGCCACAGCCCCTAACAGCTGATTCTACCCTCAGCCCTGTTCCTGGCTGCAGGCACACTGACCTCACTGCTGTTCTATGAATGTTCCAGGCTCATCTCACCTGGTGTCTTTTGCTCTCCATCCCCCATATACCTACTTGAAGAACATCTCTGCTCCTGCAAACCTCTGCTCCAATCTCATCTTCTCTCTGAGCCTATCTGATAAACACTGCAACCTATACTTGGTCTCCCCTAAGCTTGACACACTTTTCCTTTCCTCCGCATTACTAACCACCTTGTACTTACTTTTTCATTATGTTTGTTATTATACACTGTTTCCCAACCCTGGCCCACCCCTCCCCAAAGACAACTTCCATGACTGCAGGAATCATTTGTTTTATAGATTGATGTTTTCCAAGTACTCAGACCAGTGTGTGGCACATTCTAAGTATACAATGAACAGCTGCTGAGTGAACTAACAATACTGGCCTTGGCATTTAATGTAGCACCAACTGGGAGATCCGTGTGAGACCAGGTTTATAAAAAGTAAAGCCAGGAGTAGAAAATAAAAAATTTCAAACACTCATGTCGAAACTATTATACTCAGTTTCTCTAAACACAAATATATTAGGCAGCATTTGCCTTCAGAATAATATAAAAACTTCTTAATGTATAAATAATATTACCTGGCTGGAAAGCCCAGCTGGTTAAGAGTGTTGCCCCGATATGCCAAGATAGTGGGTTCAACTCCTAGTCAGGGAACATATAAGAAGCGACCAACGAATGCATACATAAGTGGAACAACAAATCTGACTCTCAAACAAATAAATAAGAATTAAAAAATTATAAATGAAAGTAACTAGGTTCATAAATACAAAGTAAGTCCCAGGATACCAACTATCTAGGTTGTTTCTTTCTATAAACTTCTCCATCTGTGTAAGATTGCCTCAGCTTGATTGCCAATTTTATCTTCTTAATCTAAGTTCTATTCTCATTACCCTTCCATTTCTATTTTTTATCCTCAGGGAAAGACAGAGCAGTTACCGCCAGGGCATTCTCACATCTTCCAAAGAAATGGCATAGGTGTTAATCTTGTGTTTATGTTTGATGTGGGTAATGATGGCTATGACTGGAACTGTAGGTTTATTAATATGCAGGGCTCTCACCTCATTAGTGGCAATGTATGTTTTGAAGTTCAGCCGCAATGTTTGCTGTAATGTCAGATCTGGCCTAACAGACTTTCTCACTGTTCATTTTCTTTGTTTTTATCCAGTCAGTACATGCTATGTTTACAGGACTCACACATATGCTTTTTTTAATAAAGATAATTTTCTCACAGTAGTTAATCTTGGTGGAAGTTTCAAAAATTTTTAGTAATTATGTACTCATGTGATATATACATGTTAACTTTAGAGAAAAGATTTTCATAATTTTTGACCAGTGATAGAGTATTATAAATTGTTTCTCTGGCTTGTTTTGGGAGTGGGGATGCTTATTAACTGATAAAGCAATTAATTCATAGTTATTATATAATAAAAACCAGACCTGATTATTTGATAGTTTATAAAGTACTTTCATATAAATCACCTCAACCAATTCTTAACAAGAACAAAACAAACAATAGTAAAACCTGACTGAATATAGTATTAACCTGACTGGATATAATATTTGACAATCCATTATGAAGGCAACTGTTCTACCTCATTTTCTAAAAAGTTTCCAGTTGATATGTCAAATAAACTATCATGTACCAGATTAATAAGCCTATTGGAATGGGTGGTTTGTCATTGCTTGGTGCTCATATTTCATTCTATTCTATAATCCTCATTGGATATGCACTATAAGAAAAATTTGATTTTAACAGCACGTTTGTAAATCACTAATTATGTTTTATAAATCCCACAGTACACAATATGTATAATAAATATATACATATATATAACAGCTAAAATTACAGGAACACTGTATTCCAAGGAAGCCATTTAAGTGTGAGAAATATGTTGTTCTCTTTTCTCATTAGGTAACTCAATATATCTCCATTTCTTAATCTTTTAAAAATTGTGTTCATAAATACAAGATCCTGGTTTCTAGGAGAAGCATTTGGTAGGGAAGAAAATGGTGATCAGAGGAGAACACAGGTACTTAGCCCAAGACAAAGGACAAAGAGACTTAGAATACTCATTAGTAATAATCTTTCATCATCTTCCGCTCACTATATTCTCACATTGCCTATACCAGGCTACCCTTCTGTAGAAGGACACTTGTCTTTGATTTGACAACATGACACATTCCAGCTATACTTCACCTCATCATTCATTTAGAGAAAGCAAAAATGAATATATGTGCTTTTAGGAAGGTACAGCAATGGGCTTATACAGCAAAAGTGTATAAACAAGCAAATTACCTATTTAATTGCCTTAACTGCACTTAAAAGCTCTGATCTTTAATTGCCTGATTGAACTGATCTAAAAAGCTACAATTTTTTTAATCCAGAGGAAAATTAAATAGCTTTTTGGTAAATAAAAGGCATCTTTAATCTTATTTTTTATGGAATTCAAGTTATTAAATATGGACAAAATCTCTAAAATATTAATTACTCAATCTAGAGTGAATTTTTTTTTTACTACAATGCTTTACAAAAATCTTCAAGGATATCTGGCTTATTCCACTCTTCTATAAAAACACATGCTTTTAAATCCAGAAGGTAATAGTTTACAGAATATCTAGGCAACTGAAAAGCTACATATATATTTAATGAAGCATATTACCATAGCATATTATTTCCATAAATGAGTACCCATAATTATTGGAGAATAACCGTTCATTTGCACTAAAGTTCTTTAATCTGTCCATCTAGACAATGCAGATGTACATTCACTCACTGGTATTTATTTAAAACTAAAATCACTTGAGAGGATTTGTTGGCCCACTACCACTTCCCCCACTCAGCCCCTTGTAGATATCCTCTTCCCAGACCTAGTAGCATTTTCCAGTGGGTGACTCTTTGTAGGAACTAGATTGGCCAGGATAGACTGAAAAGAGAAGTACAGGCTACCCTTAGTGAAACTTGTATGTTCTCAGTCAAACCTCATATGCCACTGATCAAAGAACCATGTCTTCGCCCACACTGCCTGCAGAACTGGGAAGAAGGTCCTACCTGCCTCGGAGGCGCTCTCTCTAGTCAACAACACTTGCCCACAGTGATAATAGGGTAGTTGTACTAGAAATCTGACTAACACAAACTTTATTTTTAGATCCAGATATAAACAATTTGAAACTTACCTATCAAGATCCCATTTCAAATTATTCAATTTGAAAAATTCAGTTATTTCTCTAAAACAAAGAGTAAAACTAAAATAATTTATAGAAAATACTAGAGGTATACCAATTTATCAATATCTATCTATTTCTGATTTTTAAAAGAAAAAGAATTGCAGAATAACTAGAGAGAATCTCCCTATCTGCTATACTTTCTCACGGAAAGTTATGGCTAGTAAGAATTCATTGTAAGCCAGGCTGTGCTGTATGTCCAGAGTATGGGATGGTACTAAGGATCACTTTAATAGTACATTTGCATATCCAGGGCAAGGTCCTTTTAATGAAAGCTTTGCTGTTAAGAACTGATGACTTCCTTGAGTCCCTTTGTCAAATGAAGAGCAGATGTCCATAAAAATCAATAAAATGACAAGAACTGACCAGTATGTTAATTCCTATTAAAATGGCTACATGGGTTGATGCGTGTGTGGAAGTGGGAATACTGGGAATAAAAGCAATATAAGTCATACCATTTCTTTTCATCTCGGTGATGAAAAATGCTTCATTTTTCTCCTACCCACAGATGTGTTTACATGCTTATTCATACCCAGAAAGAGTAATACAAACTTTCCCTACATTTACATTTTGTACCAACTATACTTGTCAAAATCTACATATCCTCTTCAAAAGAGGAATCACCAAAATATGAAAACCACCATAACAGAACTCTTAGTAACAGATGTGGTACTACCATTGAAGACATCAGTTTTTTTTGTCTCTTTCATAGTTTATACTTTTTCTTAAAAAAACTTTCCTTTAATCACATCTAATGTGTATGCTGTTGCATTCCCCAAATGTGCATTAAACTATGTTGAGCAGATGTGGAAAATTAAACAATACTGTTAGTAACATTAGGCCCTGAAGTTGCTTTGTTATAGTCTGTTTCTCAATTAATAATTTGTTCCAAATGAATTCAGACATTTTGGGAACATAAAAAAATGCAAAGGGAGGTTCCTTTTGCAACACTGAAGAGTTATCTTCTCATGTGTTATGTTAATAAACTAGGAAACTAATTTCTGATACTTTTACCAATTCATTAAAGTTTCACTTTCAAGGTATGTAAAGTAATTTCTTAAGGAACTGTGTATGATGATATCTAAATGCTAATTTTTTTTTAAAAAAAGATGCAATCATACAGAAATGAAGGTTTTCATGAACTAGAGTTAAGAAAAATAAGATCTTGTCATTATCAAATAATATAAAATACCTTTTTACACGTTTGGTAAATACTATTCACAAAAATACAATACCAAGTTTATAATCTAAATCAGAGCAGTTGAGCAAAAAAAGAAAAATAACATTTTTTTAACTATCAAATATATCAGCTTAAATATTACATCACTTATTCACTTTAAAAATCAAGGGATATGAAGAGCTTCTCACCCCACCTCAAATTGTCAAAGCTTGTCAGCTTGGTACATACCTCTGTGTAAAATCTTTAAACTCCACAAATAGGTAAGGCCTTTAACAACCTGAATTTAAGAAAGAGAAAAACAGTACAATGATGATTTTTATAAGGACCTTTCCACATTTAATCATATAATAATATCAACCATAATTCTTCCTTTAAAACACTGTCAACCAATAAGTATCTCCCATTTGTGTGCAAGGCTGAGGATGCCAAATGTGTAAGTGTTCACCTTCTTTCTTTTCATGAACTTTCAATGTTCTGAAGATAAGGTATGAGAAATGAAAGAATGAAGTCTATGTGCATAAAATGACCTGGAAGTACATTTACTAAGTTCTTACTGGAGAGGGATAGGAAAAAGGAACAAAGATCTTCATTTTTTTAAAAAAATTTTCTATACTTCAGTGGTAAAATTTTTTTTTTAAAAAAATCATAACTTTGAAGACCAAAAAAGGGACAATTTTAAAATTAGCTAATAAAGGCAATGGGTAAAAAAGTGATCACTTTTCCTGTTAGTAGTCAGGAAGGCTTTACCAAGTATTAAGCATTGAGTAACTGAAAAAAAGAAATGAAAAGAAAGCCCTGGCCAGTCTTCTCAGTGGATAGAGCATCAGCCCCAGGACTGAAGGTCACAGGTTTGATTCCTGGTCAAGGTCACGTACCTCAGTTGCAGACTCAACCTCTGGCCCCAGTTGGGATGTGTGTGGGGTGTGTGTCTCTCTCACATAGATGTTCTCTTTCGCTCTGCCCTCCCCCACTCCATCCACCTCTCTCCCTTCCACTCTCCCTCTAAAGAGCTATGGAAACAATATCCTTGGGTGAGGATTAAGAACAACAATAAAAATTTTTAAAAAAAGAGAGAAGAAAGCATGCAGGCCAAGGTAAGACTATATAATCAAAGTATTGGGGCAGTGTACTCTTCAAAAACATCAAGGTCAGGAAAGACAAAGACTGAGACACTGTTCTAGATTAAGAGAGTCATGACAACTAAGTGCAATGCATAACCCTAGCCTGGATGTTGAACTAGAAATCATTTTCTTTTGGTTTATAAGGGCATTATCGGACAACTGGCAAAATCTGAACAAGGAATGTTGATTAGATAATAATGCATCAATGCTAATTGCCTGATTTTGATCAGTCTACAGTGATAATCTAAGATAATATCCTTGTTCTTAGGAAACATACACCTGAAGTAGGTAGGGGTAAAGGGTCATGATGTCCACAACTTGTTCTCAAATGTTTTAGGACAAAATATGTAGTATTCAAGATTGTGGCTGGGAATCCACATATGTGAAGGGCCAACTGAAGCTATACTCAGATTTTTGTCTACATTGTGGTTAGTATCCCTAACCCACTGTATAGACATGATGTTTAAGGGTAAACTGTGTATACATACATATATACATACATACACACATACATATATAAACCAAAGGTGGTTAACTGTTAACAACTGTGGAATCTGAGTGAAGCATCTGTGGGAATATTTTTTCTGTAAGTTTAAAATAACTTCAAAATAGTAAGTTTCCCAAAAATGTTTTAACTGATATTGGGGTAAGAAAGAACAAAGTAGCCCATCTGGCTGATGCAAGCATAAGTATAGAATCATGTAGACAATATCAAAAAGGCAAGTCAAGAAAATAGAGAAGATATAAACATCGAATTAGATTTGAATTTCAGAATTTAACAGCCTGAGTTAAGAATAATTAGTCAAATAATATACGGAAAAAAACGTATTTCTAAGACCCTATGTACATGGATTACAAGTGCTACCTTCTAGTGAAAATTAAATCATCAGAAGCTTTAGAAATCTTTATATAGACATTGTTGTAAAAGGAAATGCAAACATTTTTATTTCTACCCATTGCTCTGTATGCATATGAGTGTGGACTTGCCAATTTCAAGATTAACTATTCATAATTAGGTGTTAGATATAATAAATGAATACCTATCACTCAAATTGACTACAACAATTTAAAAGTACCTGTAATTTTTAGGAAATTTTAGGTGGGTCAGGACTGTAAGAACAAAGAAAAGCTACCATTATGAGAAGTAACTGAGTGAGGTACATTTCTTAAAAATGGTGACAAGAGGATTGGGGTGCTAAATATGCAAGGGCTTTAGTTGATCAAGAAAGACTAAGAGTAATATTAAAAACAGAAATGCAAAGGGAGAAACCCAAGTTCCAAATAGTAAAGATTTGGAAGAATATAAAATCTATATCAATTAATGCTGAGCAGAGGTTAACATATTTTAATTGTTCTCATGGAGTAGAATGTACTCCTGAAAGATTTGCTAACATAGTATAATCAATCCCACAATGTTTGTCTACTGAAAGAGAATAGAATGAATACATTTTTATAGAAAATGATTTCTTTTGGGGTGTGGAATAAGTGATATTTCAATAGAACACACATTTTCTGGATAGAAAATAGTAAAAAAAAAAAAAAATACCAAATAGTAATAACGATAAGTTTAACACAAAGGGAGGAAACAGGACAATGCTTATAAAAAAAAAATAACATCAATAATAAAAACAACTTTCGTCTTGAGCAGTAGGACAAGATCATTTTATTTAGCAAGGAAGTACTTAGCTTCTGAGTTCTGGAAGTAGGGATAAATGTCTCAATTCCAAGCTTAGTTACATATTATAAAACCTTTCCATTAAAGCTAGCAATAAAAATTGGTCTCACAGAAAAAAAATAATCAGAAAACATACAAGGAGAAGGCAAGCCATCATATTCAGCCTACCAGGCAGGAAAAAAAAGTAAAACAAATCCTGATTTTATGATATTGATAAAATTATAAATTTTGTTAGAGATTAAAAAATTGTTATTTTTCCAACTTTGTCAAAATAGGTTACATTTTCCTTTATAAGCATAAAAGAATCAAGGTAGGGAACTGGAAATCTGTCGACTGAAAATCTAAAGGGTATTACTGGCATTCAGTAGGCAGGTTTTCATAACAATGACTTGACAAAACCTTGACACTGAAAGTACTTATATCTGCTGTCAATCACTCACTCCTTGACATGTCAAGTGCACTTCCTTTCAGGGACAACTTCAATCAACATTAGCACTCAGAATAGAGTACACAGTGTCACTGCTTCAGAAATGAGAGGAAAATAAAATGTGGTAGATGGAAGGGAAAGTCACAAAGGCATTCCTGTTTATAGGAGACCAGATTCAAATGGAAAGTAGATAAAAATCACGGAACAAGCTGGAAGGCTGGATTCAGCCAGTTATTATGGATTTCTTTATTTGAGAAAAATATTCTCTTGCTATACATCCTACAAGAGAAAATTTGAACAACATATCAGAAAGGCTGACAGGGGTCCATCCTCAATTGAACCTTGGATCTTTGGGAAATACAGTTAATTTGTGGAGGGAGAGATGCCTAGATATGGTTCTAAGACATGAAGGGAATATGAATCTGTATGTGTTATTCCATTATTCTCTCATTCATACTTCTCTTTTTCTTTTAAACCCTGTTCTCTCTTTTACTCCTTTCTCTTCTTTTTTCTCATTCTCTTACGAAAGTAGAGTGAAAGAACATTGGGCCTGGAGTCAAAAGCCCTCAGTGCAAATTATTACTGGCTAGTTATATGATAACTCTGGGCCAGTTATTTAACTTTTCTAAACCTCATCTTAGTTATGCATAAAATATGTACAATAATCTACACTTTATAGAGTTGCTACAAAGACTGAATGATAATATTAATAGTTGCATATAAAACATTTACCCATGATGAAGTATTCACTATACACCTATTTTCCTCCTCTCTCCTGAGTCTGTTGATTTTGACCTCAAAAGAGCACCCATGTACTTTCGTGGCCTCACAGAGAGAACTAAAGGGAATAATGCTGAAGCTGTCTTCAGAACAGTAGAAGAGAATCTAGGATACCAGGAACCCATTCAGGCCATGAGAATATCTACTTTACAAACCATGGCCTACAGACCATCGGTTTGCTAGTCTTATTTTGATCGGTAGAATTCTTTCACTGGTGTTTGTCAGTGGCAACAAAGGATTATTTTAGTTTGTAGCCTACTCATTACATAAAAAAACTAGAGGTCTGGTGCATGAAACTCATGCATGGGGGGGGGGGAGCGGCCCTCAGCCAGGTCTGCACCCTCTCCAATCCGGGACCTCTAAGGAGATGTCCCACTGCCTCTCGCAATCCGGGACTGCTGGCTCCTAACCTCTCACCTGCCTGCCTGATCGCCCCCAACCCCTCTGTCTGCCTGCCTAATCGCCCCTAATGACCTCTGCCTCGCTCCACACCTGGGACCCAGACTTCTCTCCCTCTGGCCGGCCGCAGGCACCCAGGACCTGGGCCAGCTTCGCCTGGGCTGGCCACAGCTGCAGGGGACCGTGGGCAGGCGGCTTTGCCCAGGCTGCAGGCACTGGTGCCCAGGACCACAGGACAGGTGGCTTGTCTCTCTCCTAGGCTGCAGCCCCAGCCACTGGCACCTGGGACCATGGGGCAAGTGGCTTGGTGGCTTGTCCCTCTCCTGACCTGCAGCCTGACTGGTCCCCATTCCTCTCTTGCGAGCTCATTTGTGCCTGACTGGTCCCTATTCTTCTCTCCCCAGTGTTGATTATCTGAGCGGGATAGCATGAGGGCGTGACAACCATTTGTATATTAGCTCTTTATTATATAGGATATACTTTGGAGGCATTACACAAGTTTAGGTCCCAGAAGAGTCTATAAAAAGTGGCAAGTGGCCGAAACAGGTTTGGCTCAGTGGATAGAGTGTCGGTCTGGGGACTGAAAGGTCCCGGGTTCGATTCTAGTCAAGGGCATGTACCTTGGTTGTGGGCACATCCCCAGTAGGGGGTGTGCAAGAGACAGCTGATTGATGATTCTCTCTCATTGATGTTTCTAACTCTCTATCCCTCTCTCTTCCTCTCTGTAAAAAATCAATAAAATATATTTTTTAAAAAGTGGCAAATGGAGAGCAAAACTATCAAAAGCATTTTTTCTACTCTGACACAGCAGTACTCTGACCTGATGAGCCATAAAAGTTGGAGAAATTGGAAGCATTCTAGAAAAAAACAAACTTCTAATTTTTAAAACTATAAGGGCAAATGTAAACGATGCTTTGGGCTAGCACTTATTTTAAATGCCTTTCTCTAAAATATTTTTTGTCATATTTCCATTATTCAATAGGTAAGCCCTGTATTGGAAACTGGATTATTATTATTATTTTCTGACTTTATTCCCTTCACAGGTTTCCCACTCCAGTAGAACTGAAAAGATGGTAGCCCTGTGTGGCTGCCCTACACAAGAGGGAGGAAAGATTTTATGAAGTCCAGGAAGAACATACTTCTGTACTGAAGGATGCAGATTTCTATTTTATCCAAGTTCAATAGATAATTGAGTACATAGAACTCATATACTTTTTTTCATTTTCTATTGGTATCCTTGCCTTTTTTTGTCCTTTATTATACGTGTTATTAAACTTTAGAGCCAAGAACTGCTAAAAGCCACGAAGAATTCATTCTCCTCCGAGATTAAAAAAGGAAATGAAACATTTTTATTTTCATCTAAAATACTGATTTAAGTACTCAAATTTTACACTGAACTAATTTACCTAAACATGTAGATTAGAAGCTACTTAACAGCAATAGCATCAGAAAAGAAAGTTCTCATCATCCTGGGCAGTTCACACTAATAATTAGAAAGAAAAAAGGAAAGCTGTGAATTACAATAAACTGAAACTAAATAAGTGTCCATGCTGGATTAAAGGATTTGCGTTGTCAGTCTGATGTATAATGAATGTGAAAATCAGCCATTTAATTAAATGGTACATGGTATAATCGCTTTGTTCTGCATTAAACTGCTTAGGTTATCAGAGTGCCTTTAGTTTAGCAATTGTTCACTATTACACTACCCCGTGGCTTCCCTTAGACACTGTTTAACCTACATTATTCCAAATTTGAAAGATGGGTCTTATTCAGCAAGTTAACTGATATATTTCATCAGTTTATAAATAATATAGAAAATAGAAAAACTACTTTTTAATCACAAAGGAAATAAAAATTAAAACCCAAGAACAAAAACCTTTAAGAACAAAGTATTATTTTCTTATAGACTGTTTTATTTTAATAATTTAGACTTTAAAATTATTTTCTAATATGCTTATAATTATAAAATGCCCAGCAACCAGCTTTCTTTTTTGAGGAACATGGTCAATAAGAGCACTAAGGTCCCTGCAACACATGACACCAGAACGGGTCAGAGTGCCCACAAGCCTGAGAGATGTCAAGTGACTATATAGATATTGTGGGTTGGTCTATGGAAAGAAGAAAGCACAAAAATGACAATAAAAAGTTAAGATGGCCCTGGCTATCGATAGGGATTGAGAAGAGAATATAAGGAGAGTAAGGCTCGACTAGAGACAAAATCATCCTGATTTCATAAGGTTGAAGCCATATACTCACTGCCACAGCAATCCTCCCAAGGACATGCTCTGGAATTTTTCTATATACATCCAAAGATCCCCCTGTAGAGAAAAACATGTGTTATTACCAATAAAACTACTAGAATAGAGTACTGGGTCTCTCCTCTGTGCATTCATTGTGAGAAAATTTTTTCTCATATCATGTATTAAATGTCTGGGGTAAAATATGTTTTTGTTCAGTCTATATATATAAATAGGAAATATGCAAATTAGGCCAGGACTTCATAACGGGTCACGACCAGACAGGAGGTTGCGCGTGCAGGTGAGGCCCGGAGTGGAGATGGTGACAGAGACAGGAGGGCCAGCGAGCTGCTGTGCCCCAGCTCAGGCCAGCCCCCCAGAGCTGGACAGGGATGCTGGGCTGGCCTGCAGCCTCTGTGGCTGAGCACAGGCCTGGAGAGGAGGTGGCAGGCCCACCTCCTGAGGAAGTGGCGTGGCTCCCTCCCAGCTCCTGTGGGCGCCAGGGGCTCACTTCTGCTTCCCACGAAGCTACACGGCTCCGGACAGCACGCTGCGGTTCCCTCCCGCTCCCATGGATGCAGTGGGCGGCCTACTGCACACAATGGACTACTAGTATATAAATAAAGCTATTGGCTTTATATTTATCCTGTTTAAAGCAGGAAAATGCTCACTTCTTTAGATAACTTTGCCTTGTAGTTTCCAGACTCTAACATGAAGCTGGAAAATCCCGGAGTGACTAAAACTTATATTTGGGCTCTGGGTACTACTGGGAAGATAATGAGAAAACACACTTCTGCAATGAGCTGAACCATCTTTATTTACTAAAATAGCATTTATATTATAGATGCAATAAAAGTGAAAGTATTTTAGAAAAAATATTTTATGTTCTCATTGATCTTTCAGATGAATGCAGCTGCAAGGATGAACAGTCTCAAGAAGATCAAGCATCACATGCTGGTATTTGGAATGCTGATAAATGCAGCTTATTGCGCCAATCCCTTATGAAATGAACAGCTTCAGTGGCTCAAAACTAGGAGGTGCAAATCACTCCCATAAACTAGTAAGAAATCTTAAGAGGAGACTTATTTTATGTAGGACATAAATCAGGGCTTAATTGGCTAAGTAGACAATATTTAATAAGCTAAATAAAAAAGTTAAAGATTATGTCACTACCATTATCAGTAGAACAAGCCAAAAGAAAACCCTATTTTGAAATAGTTCATTGGATTTTGTAAATATCCATTTAATCTTGGTTACATCTCCCTCTCCTGAGCCATCATGTGGGTAAATATTTCCATAGATGGCTTTATGTCACCACAGATTCATCTTGTCCTTGACATACTCATTAGAGATAATTGTCAGAGGCATAAATAAATAAATAAATAAATAAATAAATAAATAAAAGATGTGGTAGATCCACTCAGAATCAAGAGTTCCTATTAAGACGACTGATGGGTTCTCTTTGTGCAGTTAAGTAATACTTATTTTTCCTTTTAATTTTTACTCAGTTTCACTGTAATTTGTATCCTATAGGCCTATCCCCAAAAGGCAATTTTTAGATTCATCAAGTCATCAGAAGTTAGAGTTGGTGGGACATTAAAGATCAGTGCAATGACTTTCCTTGACAGGTGGGAGAAACTGAGTTCCAGAGAAGTCATGAACCAGTTGAAAGCAGAGCTCAGGAAAGCTCTGAGCCTTTGAACTCTCAGAATGGCAAAGGTCTAAAATGTTTCCCTATAACATTGCACAGCTTGAGAATCACATGTTCGCTTTTTACAGTTAAAAACATCTCACTACAATGTGATATGATTATGACATATATTTAGAAAGAGAGAGTTTAATCTTAGCTGAGATGTTGGTATTCTAAACATTCAGAAACTCACTTATCTCTGGAACAGTTGGTTTGAACTATTTGATCCTGATTCCGAGGTCACTGGTTTACTACCTGCGACCTGTCATGACCCAGTGTCCCTTGACCTCAGGTCATCCCTACCCATCATTTCATTGAATGCCACTATCCACCACGGCAACCAGAAAAAAGGGTGCTATCTAACAGAATAGCAAAAAACTAATCTCAGTTGCCAAACAACTAAATGTTTCTTTTGATGAATTAGGGCTATTGTCTTCATGGAACGAGGCCAAAAAACTCCTGGGATAAGGTCTGTGCTGATCCTAATACAGGGTCCAGTAACCCCTACTGCCCTCCCCTGTAGGCCTAGTCCCCCCCAACTGCCCTCTCTGCTCGCCCAGTCACCCCTAACTGCCCTCCCCTGCAGGCCTGGTCCCCCCCAACTGTCCTCCCTTGCTGGCCTGGTCTCCCCCAACTGCCCTCCTCTGCTGACCTGGTCATCCCTAACTTCCCACAACTGCCCTCCCCTGCAAGCAATCTTGTGGTGGCCATCTTATGTCCACATGGGGGTGGCTATCTTGTGTCTTGGTGTGATGGTCAATTTGCATATTAGACAGGATGGAGTTTGGAGAACTGGAAGTTCTTTGGGTCAGTAAGTGGTGAGTGAATGAGAAGCCTAGAACATTACTGTACACTACTATAGAATTCATAAATACTGTTCCAACAGGGCCAAAAATAGAACATCAATTCTGTTAATGCTGCTCCATGTACAGAGATGTGGACTAGATTGGTTAGAAATACTGGGGCCAGGCTTTTGTGGCTTAGTGACTGAATGCCATCCCATGCACCAAGAGGTACCTGGTCAATTCCAGGTCAGGGTATGTGCCTGGCTTGCGAATTTATTCCCGGTAGGGGACATGCAGGAATGTTTCTCACTCATCTAATTTCTCTCTCCCTTCTTCCTTTTCCTTCCTCTCTCTTTAAAAAAATATTTTAAAAAATACCAAAGAGAAACTGAGTAAGGAGTAGATCACTGTAATAGTGATATGTAGGGAGGAAGTGAAAGTGATTCTTCCTGGGGAAGAGTAGAAATAAGAAATCAATATAGAGAGATAAAGGAATACAAGGGGTTGTTATGGTAATGTGGTTTTGGCTATTGCAGGTTGGAGCAGTGGTGAGATTAAGGAACTTGTGGTACACATTAAAATAGAGGGTGTTGCTGAAACCGGTTTGGCTCAGTGGTAGAGCGTCGGTCTGTGGACTGAAAGGTCCCAGGTTCGATTCCAGTCAAGGGCATGTACCTTGGTTGAGGGCACATCCCCAGTAGGGGGTGTGCAGGAGGCAGCTGATTGATGATTCTCTCTCATCGATGTTTCTGACTCTCTAATCCTCTCTCTTCCTCTCTGTAAAAAAATCAATAAAATATATTTTAAAAATAAAATAGAGGGTGTTTAATATGGAGAGGGTGTAAAACTGAGGATTCAATCTTTTTTTACTTTGGAAATTTGATTTTGGTTCCATTGATCCTTTCTGGCACAAAGGACTCTCTAGCACTTGATGGAAGAAACAAAATCTATGTGTGTGTTATATTATATTATTACAACCTGAAAATATGTCAGAAGTACAGGAACACGCTGCCTCCACACTAAAGATGCAATGGCCTTTAAAACTTGTTAAAGTGGTTCTTGTGAACCTGGGTTCTTATAGGATCTGAGGTTCTCAACAGAGAATTTACAGTAAATAATTCTGAAGACCATCAAGTGTGATTTGGGAGGGCTGCAAGAACGCTCTGAATACGTAGGGCTGGGGAACAGGCTCCTCTGTGGGGGGGCAGGCTCCTCTGTGGGGGGACAGGCTCCTCTGTGGGGGGGCAGGCTCCTCTGTGGGGGGACAGGTCGATGGCTGACTGACTGGGATGTAATCTGTGCACTCAAAACTGAGATGCTGTGAGATGGAATCTATTGCCAAGCCTTACAGATATTGCTCTTATTAGAGAAAAAATAATTCCTTCTGAACTACATATATTTCCATTTCTTCCTGGAAATTCAGCTCCATTATAATTTTAGTAAAGGCCCAATGCATAAAATGCATGCATGGATAGGGTTCCTAGGCCTGGCTAGCAATTTGTGAGGGGCCCATCTGTGAGGTGACTGGTAGGGCGATTGGGGGTGGATGAGGGGGGCCCTGCTGGCACCCACCCTGGCCAGCCTAGAACCACCCACTCAATGGCCCTGACCCTGCCACCACCGGTCGCCTTCCTCTGTGGGGCAACTACCTCTGTGGGCAATTAAGAGGCCCCCACTGGAACCTGCCTTGGCTGGCCTGTGGGCTGGGGGCAGCTCCTGAGTTGAGTGTCTGCCCCTGGTGGTCAGAGGGCATCATAGTGACCGATCGTTCTATGGATCCTTCTGCTCTTTGGTCGATTTGCGCATTAGGCTTTTATTATATAGGACGGGAGCATTCAGTTTTTGCAGTGACTAAAATGTGACACATGACTGTTCTAACATGTGATACAAGATGAATGAATTTTGAGAACTTTATGTAAGTCAGTAATTTTCAACCTTTTCATCTCATGGAGCACATAAATTACTAAAATTCTATGACATACCAAAAATATTTTTGCCTACCTGACCAAAAAAAATAAAATAAAATAAAAAAATAAGAGGTATAATTTTGATTAATAGTAATTACCTCTCCTTTTTGCTCCAAAGTGACTTTTAAAAAAAATTAGGTGCCTATATTGTATATAAGGATTTCTGGTACCGAAAATTAACCAATCAGATACAACCTTATTATGTGAAGTGACCAATAAGATACAACTCTATTATAAGACCTATATATTTATGGTTCAAGACAGGGCATTCACACTAGATGGCTATTGTTGTGTTGGGTGTTGTCATTTTTTATTTGACAATCTAAGGGAAAAGAAGTTAGTGGTCCTGACTAACTAGTCAGGTACTACATGTTTTAAAAATTCTAATGGCATGTTGGCTGAAAATCGCTGTGCTAAATGAAAGAAATCAAACATAAAGACTACATATTATATAAATTCCATTTGTGTGAAATGTCCAAAATAGGAAAATCTATAGAGACAAAAAATAGATTAGTGTTTGCCAAGGACTAGAGAAAAGAGGGAGTAAGAAGTGACTGTTGATTGATATGGAGTTTGTTTCTGGGTATGATAAAAATGTTTTGTAATTAATGACAAGAATGGTTAATGACCTTGTGAATATACTAAAATCCATGGGTTTTGTACAAATTAGAAGGGTGAATTTGATGGTATTTGAACATACCATCTCAATACAAATTTTTTTTAATGTATTTGAAAAATTGAAGACTTCTAAAAAGAATGATGAGCCCTAACTGGTTTGGCTCAGTGGATAGAGTGTCGGCCTATGGCCTCAAGGGTCCTAGGTTCGATTCCGATCAAGGGCATATACCTTGGTCACATCCCCAGGAGGGAGTGTGCAGGAGGCAGCTGATCAATGTTTCTCTCTCATCGATGTTTCTAACTCTCTATCCCTCTCCCTTCCTCTCTATAAAAAAATCAATAAAATATATATATTTTAAAAAGAATGATAAATAATCATAAAATAGTAACATCTACTAGCTCTATGAATCCACTTTTTCTAGTCAGTATCCTTAAAAGAACTATAATTCTTAGCATCTATAACTAATTTAGATTAAATTATATAACTTACTATAGTATCAAGGCATCAATGCTGGCTCATTAAAAAGTCTTATAGGGCATGAACTAATTGCTTCAGTAATTTCCAAAATGACTAAGTTTATTTTAAATTGTTGAATTTGAATGGGCCAGATACTGCAAAAATGAATATGTAAAATTTAGACTTCTTTGATTTAAAATAGGTCAATAATAACAATGATGATAATTTCACTGACATCAAGAAATCTGCATTCTGCCTTTAAAAAAAGGTCAAGAAAGAGTTACCAAACTGGAAATGAATAAAAAAAAAAATAAAGGAGAGAAAGGGCTAGAGTCCAAAGAAAACAAAACACATCTTGGCTCAATAGCTGTGTTAAAAAATAATTTCTTATCTTGCAACTAACCTTTTTCTTTTTAAAAATATAGGACATTGGGCTAATTGATTTTTTTTTAAAGTAAATATGTTTTGGCTATTGAAACATTAAAAGAACAGAACATCTGTTTTGCAAGTAAAGACAGATTGTATGGAAGAATCAAATATCAAATCACCAATTGGACTAGCATTTAATTTGTTCTATCTGAATTTTCAATAAAAGTAAATGAAATCACACTCTTGAAATTATAGGTCAGCTCTAAATATTTAACACCAGAAATCTTTAACACTAAGATGCTTTAAAGCAAGCATGTCAAACTCAAAAGGCTAACATAGGCCAAATAAATGAGGCATGCAGCCCGTGGGCCTTGAGTTGACACGCTTGCTTTAGAGTATAAAGGTAATTATTAGTATATTTTAATTATTTTTCATCCTATTTGACATTTATACCAAATCCAGGTTACAAAACACTATCCCACCAAAGTAATTTTTAAAATACTATAAAAGGAAAAACTCACCATCCATAAATTCTGTACATATTGAAATCCTATTTTCTACAAAAAATGCACCATAAAATCCTATGATATATGACGAATCACACTGTAACAAAAATAAGACAAAAGCAATTAAAAACCTACAAGCCAAGAGCACAGGCATGCTTTATAAGAAAAAAATGACCAAGAAAAAATTACCTTATAAAGAATTTCCAATTCAGACATAATTTGCTTTTGAAGTTCCAGTGTAATATCTAGTAGTATGACCTAAATATGGAAAGGAATACATTGATACATTAATTTACCTTTAAATTAAGTATAGCTATACTTGTTATGAAACATAAAAACTAAACTTTTCATTTCCCCTCCGCCTCCCCACTATTATAAACCCCCAGCAATACAAACTGTAACCACATCTGTCTAATCCTTTGTATTGGGGGAGGTGGTATAGAAGAGATTGATGGGACCAAGGAAAAAGCCAGGTCTCAAAGGTCAGTATTAATAGCTTTAAAAGTCAGTTAAGTTATAACACCCTTAATTTATATACCCTATTTTGGCCAAATTGGTTATTTTCAGAAGAGAAAGATAGGAGTGACTCTGAAACCATTTAAAAAAAATTGCCTTGTAATTCAGACACTAGGCGATAAGCAGAAGAGTTTGAATAGTAAAAATGACATTTAAAGCAGGGTTTTTAAGATTTAAAATATAACATCTTTTTTTTATTCTCCCAGTTGCATAATGCTTCTTTGCTAATAATGTAATAAAATGGTAGAGCTTGAAGGAACCTCACAAATTATTTCATCTAATCCCCTTCGTTTACAGGAGGAACCCAAGGTTCTGAGCAGCCACGTGGCCTGGCAATGTCTGGCCCCTTCCTGACTCTGATGATTTTTTTTTTTTTACTTAAAAAAGAGAGCGATGAGAATAAAATAGTTGAAAGACAATTTTAAGGTCTGTGGCAGAGTTTCTAACTCTAGACATTTCTAGATAAAAACTGAACACCCAGGATTACCATGACAGCAGTAGTTACACACCATCCAACACTGAACTACATTTTGTATTACAACTGCAGAATATATATAATCATAGTGGAGGGGAAAAAAATCCATAAATTATAAATTGCAAACTGCTGATAGAGCAAGGAAAGAGGAGGCTAATTCTAAAACACATTTTATAGTAATGACATCCATTTGGGGGAGGGGAAAAAAATAAAAAAGGCATAGCCAGTTTCTATCAAGAGTTTGCTTTAGGGTTATTTATAAAAGCTCTCACTAAACCAGCCTGTAAGTGTAATACGAAACTGCCAAGAAACACTTCTCCAGATCAATAGTCATTTTGCCAACAATATTCACTTACATTTTTGTTCCCGTATAAAACTTAGCAACAAAATAAATTCATCTAGTGTTTCAAGTCTATGCCAGAAACCAGTAGTTGGCAAACTGTGGCTCGTGAGCCTCACGTGGCTCTTTGGCCCCTTTAATTTTTAGCAAAGGCCAGCTTACGATACCCTGATTAACTTAATAACAATGTACCTACCTATAAGTTTAAGTTTAAAAAATGTGGCTCTCAAAAGAAATTTCAAGCTTTGTACTGTTGATATTTGGCTCTGTGGACTAATGAGTTTGCCGACCACTGCCGTAAACTATTAGATCTATTCACACCAACATGTCAAGTACAGGGAATCTTTCATCCTAAAAAACTAGTAAATGGAATGAAGTTATTATTTACTTTAAGCAACAGATCTCTAGTATTTTTATGGTCTCACTCATTTATGGATATTAAAGAACATTATAAACTGACAAACCAAAAGTCATATATAAAGACAGTAAAGCAACAAGCAGACTGTAAAATTACAGCGGGGAGAGTAGGGAGATCTGGGGGAGATAAGAGATCAACCGAAGGACTTGTATACATGCATATAAGTACAACCAATGGACATAAAACTCTGGGGAGGGAGGGTATGTATGGGGGGGGAATGTTAAAATATGTACACAGATAATAATTTAATAAAAAAAAGGAAAAAATATATTTCAAAACAAAACAACAGCAACAAAAATAAATAAATAAATAAATAAATAAATAAATAAATAAAGCAACAGATCTCAAACATGGCCTCATATTATTATAATTACCTTTATTTAAAGTTATTTTCATAAATATCTCAGGGCACTTTAAATAAATCCTGATGATACATAGGCATAATGTAATCAAAATCTCTGAGGGCAGACCCACTTCTTAGTATTTAAAAACAATAACTTGTCAGGTAAATTCTAACCCACAATAAAGTTGAGAACCACTTACTTAAGGTTTCAAAAATACATTTACAGTGGAACCTTGGTTCAATTCATTCTGGAATGCGGTTTGAAACCAAATCATTTTTTCCCATTTGAAATAATGTAAACTGAATTAATCCATTCCAGTGATTCCCTGTTTTAATGATTCTTATATACATGTTTAACATACTGTTTAATCTATAAATACATACTTTAAAAACAAAAAGGACATGAAATGTAAATGAAAATTTAACAAAAAGGAAATGAAATATAGAGTAAAAATTGAAAATGTAATAAAAATAAACAGCAACTAAAGCAAAAAGTAGGAAAATATTTACAGCACAATTTCCTGAGATGTTAACAATGTAAGGTTTAGTGGTAAACTGACCCATACTCAAGCATTCTCTCCTTTGTCACCTCTCCTTTGAGAGACTCATGACCAATCATACAGGTGTCAGCATGAAAGTATTATTGGGTTGATAAGAAAATTGAGATGGTGATGTTGGAGAACGGAGGTCTGACTGTACTTAGTACTTACCATGACTACTAAGCTATATTGCTTCTCCAAGCACACACTCTATAATAAAGACATAATTCCACAGGGCTAGCCAACACATTGGAATCAAACTCACACTACTGGCTGTAAACGTATTGTCCACTTGATCAAAAATCTTAATTGGGCTCCCATGGCCTAGCATAAAGTTACAATTCTAGCATGATATTCAAGAACTTCTTCTGCAGTCTAGCTCCAACTTGTTATTCTAGTTCCTCCCACTACTCCCCATCACAAATCCAATCCTCATGTGAAACCAGATGATTTTTACTGATACCCACATGTCCTGTGCTTTCTCCACTTCCAGTCTTTGCTCTGCTGTTCCTTCCACTTGAGGTGAGCTTCCTCTCTTCATTCCACTGTCATTGATCATAAAATCTTTTCTATCTTTTAGGCCAGATAGAATGCTGCCACCATCTCAGGAAGCCAGCCAAAAAGCCCTCCCTCAGAACTTACCTCTAGCTTTGACCCTTTTTTTTTTCCCTTGCCACATTTATCTTTAGCATTCACACTTCATCCTCTAAAAAAACCAGAAGGCTAAAGAATAAAGAGTGGTTGTGAGCTCCTCAAGGGCAAAGGGTGAGTCTTGTACATTTTTCTCTAGCTCCCTCCCTCACTCCCAGCACCCTGTATAGCAAGCATGTCAAACTTGCAGGCCGCATGCCTCATTTATTTGGCCCATGTTAGCCTTTGAGTTTGACATGCTTGCTGTGTAGGATCTTACAGTAGTGGCCATTAAGTGATGTGGGATTTAATTAAAGTGTGCCTTACAACCATAATGCTCCAAGTAAGGTGCTGTTTATAGAGAGGAAGGGATGGATTGCTTGATTTCTACAGCTGAATTTAAAACCACCATGTCAAGTATAGGGAATAGTCCAACTAGAGTGGTTCAGTGGTTGAGCAGTGACCTATGAACCAGGAAGTCATGGTTCAATTCCCAGTCAGGGCACATGCCTGGGTTGTGGGCTCAATTCCAGTGAAGAGCATGCAGGAGGCAGCCAACTAATAATGCTCTCTCACCATTAATGTTTCTATCTCTCTCTTCTTCTCCCTTCTTCTTTGAAATAAATAAAAAATTATATATATATATTTAAAAATAAATGAAACCAAAAATATAAACACCACAGTACATAAAAGTGCCACTCTGACCTAAAATGTAGCAAGTAATACTGTACTCTCATAGGTCTTGATCATCCTTGGTATTTGCTATAGTGCAGAACAGTGGAGATTCTATAATGGTAGAAAAGTGAATAAAGTAATTTCTGGGAACCTGAGAGGGAGATTAAAATTCACCTTAAAATAATTACTGAAATGCTCTTCTATTTTCTGGGAAACTTGACACTCTAGGTGGAAGGTTAATTCTCCTTCCCTTGGGCATTCCTGTGAATGAGCTTTAAAACTGTGAAAAATAAACAAGTCCAATTCCTTATTTGAAGGTAATGGGAAAAGGCATGGAAATACTAATTTTTTGTTTGAAGTACTAGCAAAGGATAGACTCCCTGAGTTTTCATTATTATTATTATTATTATTATTATTATTATTATTATTATTTTTCTTCATAGGAAGAGCTAAATTTCTCAAACTGGAGGGACTCCGAACATGAAGCATTTCATGGAGAAAGGGTTAAGTGAGAAATTGAAATACCTGAGTGCCTTTCGCTGCTCTTCGCTACACCTCCAGGACAAATAAGGATGAGTTGTCAAGTTAAATATAAGCAGTCAAGTGACTGAATTATAATTTACTCTGTGCTCAATTTAAATTAGTGTGAGGCTATTAAAATATACAGTATAAATACGGCAATTCATCACAACCTGTCATGGATGACTTCATTTATTTGCTGGAATGGCACATGCTCCACTAAAGGGAAGGAGAGCAAAATCACAGGTCAAATTAAGCCGCTATTCTGTTTTAATTCGCTTATTTAATCTGTGGCAACATAATTGTCTTTTACAGTATGTACAATTCAGAAAGGAAATTTGGGAGGATTACAGTCAGTATACAAATGATTAATCAAATGGTCCATTTAAATGCTAGTTTAAAAGCAGCAGAAACCCAAAACAGTCAAAGAATGATAATTAGCATATGCTACATACAATGCTAAGAAATTTCCTGGTAAATGAATGTTTTTTCCCCAATTAGAAAATAAATAATACCAGGAAATCTATAAAGCTCTACTCTTTGAAAGGTGTTATAGAATACACTGAAAGGTTTTATAAAAAGGTTCTATTTGCAAGATGGCTAACACTATTTTTATTTATTTTCTGCTCTACTTGTTTGCAATTGTTTTGCTTACCTACACCACTCCCTGCCCAAAAAAGCTAATTAGAAACACATTTCATGAGTTACATACTACAGTCATATCAAATACTTATCTTTAAAGAATGATTAATATCATTTTCAAAATGCTCTCTTTGAGGCAGAAATTTTTCTAAATTCAGTACTATAAAATAAAAAAAATTCAAGGTACTTCTATTCTTCCTAAAATTCAACTTGCTTTTAAAAATATCCGAAATGAGAGTTTCCCCCCTTTAGTGTCTGAAAAGGGAAATGTTACAATATATTATAGTTGTTCCATTTTGTCTAAAAAATGAAAACATTTAGAAGTATAAAAATTAAAAATATTTTGAATAGGAACAGTAATAGATTTTCAAGATTTTTATCTAATTGCTCCCACAGATATTCAAAGTATGGGTCCAACTGACAACTTGGCTTGGGAAATTAAATTTCCCTCATCATTCTATGCCGGCATCAGAGCCCTGCAGGTGATTCTGTTTAGACAAGGCCTGTGATTTGCTGCTCTTCACAATCCCTCTGTGACACCAAGCAGCCCCGTTTCACAGCTGAGGTCACTGAGAGGTTCAAGTGACATGCTTGAAGTCACACAAAAGTCAGGAGAGGGTCAGGAAAAGATCAGTTGAGCTAACCTTTCATTTCACCCTTTAATATATATATATAAAAGAAGCTAAGAAATACTCTGGCTGAGCAATGGTCCATACAAAGAACACTATGGGATATTTTTATATGCGAGTTGAACCTGATTTCAAGATGTTACTTCAAAAGAATGCCCCCCCCCAAAAAAAAAAAACAACCCACAAGACAACAACACACAGAAAAGAACAAATGTATTTATTTAGTCAGCCATTCAACAAATTATATGTTGAACATCTAGTCATTACATACAGCACTCTGCACCAGGCCCTTTGTGCAATGCTCTGCATGAATCAGTGAGTAAAATAAGAGCTGTTCTCTATTTACAAGAAGATTTCAATATGATAGGGGAAACATACATGTATACTAATAGCAAACAACAAGGCAGCATGTGATAACACCCATAAGAAATACAGGGAATTCTAGAGAGTCAAAGTAGAAAGTGAGGAAGTGGTAGATAAACCAGAAGTGACTATCTACATAAGTCCCACAGAGTGACTTTGGAGCTGACCCTTGAAGGGTGTTAAGGATTTTGATAGCTGGAGACACGGGGAAGGAATACTTAATAGCGAGAAATTCATGTATCAAAGTGTTGAAGTGAAAGTACCTGGATTCAGATAAGGCAAGGGGTTCAACTTAAAAGCAGCACAACCGTTAGCTTGAATGTCACAACACTGCGACAGCTTCCACCTCTGAATCCAAACCTAAAGCCGTTTCATTTCCTTTTTATCACTCCCTGTAACTCAAGCTGAACATGGGGGAGTGCGAGTGCAGAAAAAGTGGTGAGCATCAAGAATATCATGGATTTCATGAAATGTATCCAGTACTTACCTTTACAGCTAGTATTTTCCCACTTGGGACATGATATGCTCTATGGGAAGAAAAACAAACAAAATTACTTGGGTTCCTAAACAACCTAGAGAATAGTTAAGGACATAAATGTAAATCTGGACACACCTGCAGCAATAGGATATATACTTTTAAAGAATACTAATAAAGTGATTTACATTTCTATTGAGCTTAATGGCTTAGAAAACGATTAATTATACCTTACCTTAAAATAACCCTGAGGTAATGCTGTCATTATTATTTTCTTAAAGATAAGAACTTTGAAGCACAGAGAAGTAGTTTGTCTAATGGCACAAAGTCTGAAAATGGCAGAACTAGACCTCAAATCCAAGTAATCTGGCCTTAGATCCTTTATGGCAAGCATGTCAAACTCAAAGGCTACTATAGGCCAAATAAATGAGGCATACAGCCTTTGGGCCTTGAGTTTGACATGCTTGCTTTACAGCATACTGTCAGAGTGAGAGACTGAGAGAGATGTCCTACAGCTCTGCTAAGCATTATACGGAGCCATAAAAAATGGGAGGTTTTCCTTTTGTTTATTTCAATTATATATACAAGTCAACCATATTCCCACATTTAATCAAAATAATCTCAAAACTACATGGGATTAGCTATGGTTTAAGAAAGATATAAATTCATATAAGAAGTCACAACGTTGTAAGATTCGAGTATGTGGTTTCCTAAAGCTGGCATCTCTCAATATGGAAAAAGCTTCAGAAGAGAGACAAACTCATATGATATTAATGAAATAACTACAAGTCAAGGAATATGAATACATTCACTTATGAAAAAGAGAAAAGGTTTGCAAAAATAAAAACCATGATCTCATCAAGACCTTTTTATGTTTAAATGAAATATGGCCTTTCATATGTGTATTGTAAGGAGTATACATTCTGACCATTATCCAGAAACAGCCTGCCTTATATAAAAATTTCACAATGAACCACACAACATGGGCAAACACTGTTACTGCAAGTCCATAAAAGTATAAAGAAACACATTATTTTGGAAGAATTAGACTTGTTCCACAGAGGATTTTTCACATTAGCCAAGATTGGATTGTTCTTCCTCTCACCTGGCTGGTGCTAACATGTGAGTGAGGTTGAAAACTTGTGGAGGAATGTAATTTCCCTTGCCAGGAATTCCCTGTCCTCAACTGCCAAGTTACAAAATTTACTAGGCTCCCAATTTTTACTTGATAATAACCTAATAGTAAAACATACTATTTTATTTCTTTTGAGATATCACCGACATGTAACATTACATTAATTTCAGATATATAATATAATGATGTGATATTTGCTTATGCATATTGTAAAACAATCACTCTGATAAGTCTAGTTAACATCCATTATCATAAACGGTTGCAAAAAAAATTGCCCATTTCTTAAAACAAAAACAAAATATGCATTTCACTGTTATCAAATGAAAATATTATTTTCTGTTGTTTTGGCAAAATACTTGTGTGGTTGTTCTGACAAAATTTTAAGCAGTTTTATTGAAGCATAATTATATATGACAAAATTCACTTGTTTTAAGTGTACAATTCAATGATTTTTAGAAAAGTTACATAGCTGTGCAATCACTGATAAGTATTTTTGAAGTGAAAGACTTAGAGAGATAATTTAGTTACTAAGAACCCACAAGTATTTGTAACTTTTCATATATAAAATGTTATAAATTCAGGTAAAATAGTACAAAACGTAATTGTATCTACATATCCATATATGAGTGTTATAAGAAATTCATTTTCTTTTTCCTACTTGAGTGGACAAAAGTTGAACCAATTTTGGAAGGTAAACTTAGGTTTTATTTATGAATTAATTATAGAGAAATTATATCTTACTGTATTTTCCGGCATATAAGACGACCCACCTAATTTTACAGTTAAAACATAGGTTTAGGCCTATATTCGCTGTATAAGACTACCCCCCACTTCCGAGGCAACACCAGTTCTTTTTTTAATAGACCGCCTCTCTGACTCTGGCCAATCTGAGCAGGCTTTTTTTTTTCATTTTAAAAGTTGTCTTATACACTAGAAAATACGGTATTTAAATGAAAAGCAAGATTACAAAAATTAACATTGTTCATTTTAATCTGAAAAAGTAGTTACAGACTTTGTCTATATATCAACCTCCCTAGTATATACAAATACTATCAAGTTTATAAAACTTGATAATTTAAAATTTTTTACACTTTATATAAAGAAATGTTTTATAAGAACTCCTATACCATAAAGGGTTTAGAGCAAATAACCACTTGCTTTATTATTGATGTTAATATCAGACTTTTACAACATGAAACTACATTTCAGACTATGATTTGATTCGTTATATATCTGAATTCAGGTAATAAATTGATGTATAAAGACATACACTGTAATTTTCCTCAGTGCCTGACAGAGATGCTGCTGGACTAAGCTAATTAAAAATGTGATTTGAAGGAATTTATTCCATGTAAATAGCCTATATAATAAAAGGTAATATGCAAATCAATCCAAATGCAGAGCGACCGGTTGCTATAATGCGCACTGACCACTAGGGGCAGACACTCAACACAGGAACTGTGGCAGACACTCAACACAGATGCACTCCCACAGGGGGACATCCCCCAAGGGCACCCAGACTGTGAGAGGGCGCAGGCCAGGCTAAAAGACCCCACCCTCCCCGAATGCAAGAATTTCGTGCACTGGGCTTTTAGTAGGTAATATAATATGTAAAGTTTAATAATGATATATATATTATTTTTCCTCTTACATACAACAGAGTTAAAAAAATACTCTATATTAGAATCACTAACCAAAGACTCAAATGTGAAGACTAATAGTTGAACGCATACACAAGGATTCAAAAGTCATAAAAAGAACAGTGTTGCTACTTAGGACAATAAGCAACACCAGGGTTTTTGAAACCAACAGCAGCGATAAGTAAGTGGTTAGCAGATAGTCTAATATATACCATACTGAACAGTTTGGCAACTTAATGAGCATGTCAAGAAAGATAATCTCTTTTCTAAAAGAAAGGTCTCCTATTTCCAAGTGAAATAAAAGGAGAAGCTTGATGATTTAATTATGATGCACGCTAATTCATCCATGGAAGTTTGGGTTCGATTTCGAGCAATAAAGATGCTGTGTGGTTTGGTTTACAGTGTAATGACAGTACCAACTTAACATTTAATCATCAAGGAGAAGTGGATGACAAAGGCATGGCCAGGTAAAGTGGAGTATGCACCTTAACTTTGCAAATGGCATTCCACCTGGAGAAAAGGAATCTGTTTACTTTCAATGGATACTGCATCCCAATTGTCTTGACCTTCCCCAACACATTAACTGTAAAGAGATTAATGAAGTTTGAATGGAGGCTCTGGTTACACCAAAAGACAACTATACACCTCTGCATTCTTTTAATTAACAGCTAACACTTCAAATTAGTTTGTTGTTGCCACAGTAATTACCTGTTCCAATGAGTGCATGGAGGAAGCATTTTATGAGATATTTTTAGTGCTTAGACTTGAATGTTCCATTTTGTTTTCAAACAAGCACAGACCTTCAGGGAATATTCCCAGCCCTTAAAACTGAGCACACAGCATATACACTTTAGGATGGCAAAAGCTAGTACCTTGGTATAAACTTTTTGAGTATTTGAAATAACAAAGAACCCAACAAAAGAGAAGAACAACTATCCATACTTTTTCTTTTCACTTGGAGCAATAGGTTCCAGATGACTGACAAAAAAGTTGGTATCAGCCTTTAATTCTGATAGAGTACAGAATAGAAAATTTACTGAGTCAGTAGGAAATATAGAGAATTGTCTAATTTTATCCTTTCCTCTTTCAGTGGAAACACCCAAAACCCAGGTTAAAAAACTTGTCCAAACTCACGCAGTAGTAAATGACAAACCACGAATAGGACTGTGGGAGAATACATACAATTTAGCACCTAAAGGAAATATGCAGTGATGTTTATGTTTTCTTCATGTGTTCTGAAACAGGGAAACTCATAATTCAAATTTATAAAGGTGCTGACCTATTTCTAACAGACTAAGGACCATGACATCTGAATCTCTGCAGGCAATGAAGCATTCTGGAATCACTGCCAACCTAGCTTGAGAGGCAAGGAGTGAAGGGTGTAGGCTCTGGAGTCACTCCTGGGGTTCTGATTCCAGCTCTGCACTTCTTAACAGTGTGAACCTGGACTGTTAGTAAACCTCACTGCGTCTCAGTTGTCTCAAGTCTGGAATGGGGAAATCGATCCCTACGTTATAGAGTTGTGAGGATTCAATGAGATAACAGGTAAAGTATTGAAGACAGCGCTGGCATGCATTATATTTTAAGAAACTATGAAGTTTACAAGGTAGACAGGTGTTTTGAGAGTAGAACCTGTTAAAATAGACTAAAGCAGCAAGTTGGCTTTAATGATGAAGACTGGCAAATGGCTGCAATATATCATTTATTAAGAAAAACTGGTAGAATTACTTCATGTTGAACCAACTTTGAAGACAAAGAATTGAAATAGCCATCTGACATGCTATAGTTGTACCATGTGTCAAATTCTAAATTTCTTATCATGTTTACCTCTTGTCCACTACTATAATTTATCTCTAGTACAGAGAGGTGTGGCCAGTGTCTCATTCAGGTGTTCATCTCAGCAGAAATGCCATCTCACTATCACAATGGCTAAATGAGAACCTACATTTATCCTTCTCCTTAGGTTAAATAAATAAAAATGTATAAGCTACCCTAAAAAGAATCCATATACCTTTATTTAATACACAGTTGACTCTTGAACAACATGGGGGGTTGGGGATGCCTACCTACTACATATTCTTAAAATCCATGTATAACATTTGACTTCCCGAAAACTTAACTACCCTCAGTATCCCAGGGAGATTGGCTCCAGGACCCCCATGGATACCAAAATCCATGGGTGCTCAAGTCCCTTATATAAAATTAGTGGCCCAGTGCACAAAATTTGTGCATGGATGGGGTTTATATATGGAACTCTTCAGCAATCAAATGGAGAAC